TTTACACTCTGATGGTTAACGTTAAACTTTATTTACACTCTGATGGTGAATGTTAAACTTTATTTACACTCTGATGGTTAACATTAAACTTTATTTACACTCTGATGGTTAATGTTAAACTTTATTTACACTCTGATGGTTAATGTTAAACTTTATTTACTCTGATGGTTAACGTTAAACTTTATTTACACTCTGATGGTGAATGTTCAACTTTATTTACACTCTGATGGTTAATGTTAAACTTTATTTACACTCTGATGGTTAACATTAAACTTTATTTACACTCTGATGGTTAATGTTAAACTTTATTTACACTCTGATGGTTAATGTTAAACTTTATTTACTCTGATGGTTAATGTTAAACTTTATTTACACTCTGATGGTTAATGTTAAACCTTATTTACACTCTGATGGTTAACGTTCGTTCTGTTACTCCACTAATAATCGTAAACTCTCTCATCAGACTTTGTTACAAAGTGTCTTGTGTACTGAGATAATGTCGTAAAACTACAGTATATTATTGATACAGTTCGTCTCTCTGACATTTAGCAGTAATAACTCTGATCTCTGTTTTGGTTTGTCTACTAGATGTCAGAGATGCAGTTTTAAATGATGTAAGATGTTCTATAGAGTTGTGTGTCATCTGCATAGTGATGAAGATCAACGCTCCTCCTCTGGATTATAACTCATAAAGATATAAAAGTAGAGGACCTTGTTGTGCTCCATGTGAGACGTTTGAAGCTTTGAGCATGAAAAGACATTTTGTCGAAACGTGTAACATCAGTGTTTAGGAATTGACACCTCTCTGAAACACACATTATGAAATATAGAAACATAAACTAAATAAATAAATGTAGAAATTTAGAGAACAATGCAGTTGTGTTTGAAACAAAAGCTCATTGTCTGTTTTGCAAATGATATATTCATAGTTTCCTCACTTATTTAATCATATATTTGTTTTCAATTCTTTAGTACTTAATTTAGTTTTGTACAGTGTTTAACCTGATTATCACTGCCTCCAGACTCTTAACTACAGACTCAAATCACTTTAACCATCAAATTCACTTTCCTGCTCGTTTGAATCGTCCGTCGTCTCCGTCGCTCCGCTCATCACAAGTCACCTCGCTGTCCGTCACGGCCGCCATTACTCAGCATTTTTATACAGGCCTGGACTCAAAACTGTGAGTCCTGAAGTAGGACAGAGGTCATCTGGACCAGATCCACAGAGAACCAGTAGGAGGAGGAGGTTTCTCCAGACTGCAGAGAGAGAGAGAGAGAGAGAGAGAGAGAGAGAGAGACGGAGAGAGAGAGAGAGACGCTCTCTCTAAACTGTCTCTCTCTCTCTCGTCAGCGCTGCAGTCAGTCATCGCTGTCTCGCTCTGCGATGCTCCTTCACCCCGCCGGGTTAATCCTCCCCCGGAGGCTCCTCTCACTCCTCCTCCCGTCGAGACTCCCGGAGTCTGACGACCGGCGCTCATAACGACCCTCAAGGAGGAGGAGGAGGAGGACGACCTCGCTGTGTGTCGTCGCTCCTCTCCTGAAAGCAGCACCTCCACAAAGCTCCTTCCATCTCTGCAGCTTCCCTTGTTTGTGTCTAAAGAGGAAGAAGAGGGGGAGGAGGAGGAGGAAGAAGAAGTGGAGGAGGAGGAGGACACACAAGGTGGAGTGAAGCCCTCCTCCTCCCTCCCTCCCTCCCTCCCATCGTCTGCTCTCCAGCCAGCATCACCTCCGCCACCCCGCAGCCTGCAGCAGCAGCAGCGATAGAGAGGAGGCGCAGAGGAGGCGACACACCACCTCCTCCTCCACAGCAGCAACAAGCAGCATGCTGAACTCTGTGTGGTACGCTAAAAAGATGGGCCGTCGCATCATGGGCACCCTGAGGAGAACCAAGCGGCTCCACCGGCGCCTACTGGTAGGTCTCTTCTCTCCTCCTCCGTCTTCATAAAGGTGAGGAGGGAGGAGGAGGTGAGTCATGTTCTGCGTGTGATCGTGCACCGCTGTGTGTTGTTGTTGTTGTTGTTGTTGTGGACCTATCGATCGGCCCGTCGGCTGCTGGATGAGCAGATGTGGTGAAAAGTTGCTGCTGCTGCGTCATGTGGTGGATCATGACTCACATCGGGTTCAGATCTAACAGAAACGCTCACGATCTCTCGCATCCAAAGTGGTTTTGTTTGCCGCTGTCGACGAGAGCGTAATAAAACACGGCGATGAGTCGGTGAAGCTGCAGCAGCCGTGAGCCGGTTATTAGATCTGAAGATCTTTCTGCTCGTCTCTCACCGTAGTGTTTCTGTTCTTTATTACATATATCTGGAGCGAGAGAGAGAGAGAGAGAGAGAGAGAGAGACACCTGCATCAACAGCAGCATCATGCTCTGGGCAGATGTAAAGGAACCCCTGCAGTAGCACATGCCTTTCTCCGGCGTTGCCTAGCAACCTGCAGGCTCCTGACACGCAGCGCTACCCCCCGCCTCAGACACACACACACACGTAGGGTTACACTCAGGACTGGTTGTGGATGTTTCTTCTGATCTGTAGAAGAGTCTCTCCCAACATGCTGCAGAGCGAACTCCAGAACGTCTTGTGCAGAAAGCTGCAGTGTTCCAGGTGAGAAGCTGTGACTTGTTGAGCTGCAGTGGAGGACGACTCTGTGGATGATTTGTGGAGCTCAGACGACTTCAGGAACACCGAAAACAAGAGCGGTGGACTCTATATCGGCCATCGCTGACTTTAGAGACATTAGAGACTTGTCTCAGAGTGGACGTCTGACTCTGAACCACAGAAGCATGTTTTATATAAAACTACACCGTTCATCACAGGCAGGTTCTGTAAAGACAGATTTTATTCTTTGCCGACGGTCCTTGAACACATCATGTGTGACAAACGCTTCCGTCAGAAAGAGAAGCCGAAAAATCATTTTTCATAAAAACATTTTATTCTTCATGTCTCATTATAAATGTCTCCTCTAATAAAGAGTTCACTTTAACCAGATTGTGTAAAAACATTAACGTGTGAAACTATGACGTCATGATTGATTCATCTGAGACCAGTCATGTGACTACAAGGAGGAGACACTCTGACTGAACTACAGGAAGTGAACACAGAGACGAGAGGAGAGAGGAGAGGAGAGTAGAGGAGGGAAAGGAGGAGAGGAGAGGAGGGGAGGAGAGAGGAGGGGGGGAGGGGGGAGAGAGGGGAATAGAGGAGGGGAAGGAGGAGAGGAGGGGAGGGAGGAGAGAGGAGGGGAGAGGGGAGAGGAGGAGAGGGAGGAGAGAGGAGGGGAGAGAGGAGGGGAGGGATGAGAGGGTAGAGGAGAGGGGGGAGAGGAGAGGATGAAATGTGAATAATTCAGTATTTATAACATGTAGCGCCTCGTTTTTTCCCAACATTGTTAAAACTTGTGGAAACTTTAAAAACATACATATTTAAAGAAATTCAGAGCATCCCAGAATGAGCTTCTGGACATTGTCCTGCTGTAATCGATGAGATTATTACTCCGCTTGATCAGTTTGACCTCCAGTTAGCTGTTGTTTATTTCATTTATTCAGATGAACTGTGTGTTTCCTTCCTGTCAGCAGGAATAGTGAATCTAAGAAGCCTTTACTCACTGACCCGTTAATAAACCTGGTTGTGTCTCTGATGGCTGTGATGACCCGTGTGGCCTCTAGGGGGAGCTGCAGATTCACCGTTCCGTCGCTCTTCCTCTTCCTCTTCATCACACCCTCAGAGTCTCCTTGTTGTTCAATAACATAAAGATATTCACAGGAGATCGATACGTTGTGAAGCTTTGTTTGTCTTCTGGGGTGAACGTAGGGAAGGAGACGAGGCGTTCAGGGTGCGTAGGACAATCCGAGCTGTTTCGTGGGCAATGTTGAAAATCCACTTATGGAAATCTGTCCCAACTCGTTAGTGGGTTATTCTAATGTTTTAATATTCACATTGATACATCTGAAACACCATCACTGCACCTGAATCAACAGGCCGGGATGAGTTCACATGTTTGGGTAATGCTGCTAAAACAAAACTTAAATTGCTTTATTTAAATAAGATATTTAAATAAGATACAAAAATGAATCAAAACATTGAAAAACAGAAACATTAAGAATTTAGTAAAATATAAGGTTAAACATACGTGTTAGTATCCAAACTAAAACTCTTTATTTTAATATACATGTTTGAAAAAACAGTCACAAACTTACAAGAAAATTTCCAAATTGAATGGAAAGTTTGCTGTGAAATCTCTTAAACTTCTACTTGTTATTGAAACAACCAGCGAGTGTTCTACGAAGGTTTAATAGATTACATGTTCTCAACCCGACTCCCCAGAGGATGAACCTCGTGACTCTCTCTCCCACGGTCCGTCCACTGAAGTCAACTTAACCCTTTGAGAACATGTGGTTTCATTGTGTCACGTTTTTACCTTTGGAAGATATTCTGCTCGTGTTTTTAGTTCTGTGTTGGTTCAGTCAGGTTTTTATCCTCAGAGGCTTAAAGCTGCAGGCCCCCCCCCCCCCCCCCCCCCCCCGCTGACATGCACGTCGCCGTGTCTGAATCCGGGGGCAACATCGATTATTCATGCCCCCCCTCGCTGACATGTGCCTCGCTCACTGAAGCCGATTAATTGGCAGCATAATGGGAGAAGACCAGAGAGGGAGTGTGTCACAGAGGGAGAAAGAGGGGGAGAGTTATTGTGCTTCTCTGGTTGGAGAACCAAAGATTGAGGTTTTGTTGGATCTGCTGCCGAGCCCCCGAAAACAAGGACTCTATCCATAATTCATCTCCTGTGGATCCTCCTCTACCGGCCTGCCGATGACCGCACACTTCCCCCGGCAGGAGTTCCCCTCCAGGGCCACGAACGGCGCCGAGAAGATGCCGCCACCACCACCACCACCGCGGATCGACATCAACCTGCAGGAGTCCATCGCCCACCTCCACCCGCTCCACCGGCAGCACGCCATCGAGCTCCACCGGCAGCAGCAGCAGCAGCAGACGGGTCGTCCTCCGGTCCAGGCGTCTCTGTCCACGTTCACCGCCTGCACCGTGCCGGCGTCCTGCCGAGCTCGCAGTCGCTTCCTAAACCTGCGGGACAGTGTGAAGAAAAGTCCGACCAAGAGCACCGCCAAGGTGGCCAGCAGGCCGGAGATCCCCTGGGTTCCTTTCTCCTTCAGCAAGGTACCTCGACATGAGACCTCTCCGGCTTTAGTGTGACCTGTTGGTTTTTTAAAAAGTAGACGAGTCTGAGCACGTAGCGTCGTCAAAGGTGTGAGTGTGTCGTAACAAGAAGTTACCAACAAATATTAAAACTTTATTACAATCGGCATTTAATCCACATTGCATGCGTAGATCTTAGATCTATAAACACGCTTAAATACACGATTTAGTCTGAGTTCATACATGAAACGTGACCTCGATAGTTAACCAGCCATCAGCTGCTGTAAAGGCCCCCCGGGGATCGAACCGCCGACCTTGTGGTTAAAGAGAATGACCCGCTGTACACTGCCGACACACAGACGGCCTAAAGGAATATATGTGTGATGAGAGAGTTCCAGACTTCTGTCAGGAGTTCACCACTTTTAGACGGGACTGTGACGAAGCTTCTCTAAATCAAACCCTCTTGATTGGTTGTTGCCTCTTTATTTACGATGTCTTTCTTTTACACTCTTTAGTCCTCCAGCTGATCAGCAGTGTGTTGATCTGTTTTCATCTGCTGCTGTTGTCAAAGAGATTTTCAGATGTGCAAGAACTTTGCAGTTGAATTCTTTTTATTATACAATACTATCGTTGTTTTGCTGCATCTTATTGGCTCCTGGAGTATATATAGTTCATATTTAACTGATTGAGAGACCATAGAAACTCGTAAACTTATCTGTAAATTTACGTTTCTCCACAAAGAATCTCTTTAAATCTTGTGTTTACCAGAGATGAGCTCATAAGTTTCTTAGAAATAACTTTCAAACTTTTAAATGATTCAGATTAAGGTGAAAAACTATCCAAAGCCCAAATCTGTTTAGTTAATGATGAACGAGAGATCGTCACGTTGGAGAAGCTGAGAAGAGACGAGGATTATTTTTCTTCTAATAACTGATCCGTACTGACCCCTCACAGTTTACTGTTAACCATCAGAGTGTAAATAACGTCTAACGTTAACCATCACTGTATAAATAAAGTCTAACGTTAACCATCACTGTATAAATAAAGTCTAACGTTAACCATCACTGTATAAATAAAGTCTAACGTTAACCATCACAGTGTAAATAAAGTTTAACGTTAACCATCAGAGTGTAAATAAAGTTTTAACGTTAACCATCAGAGTGTAAATAAAGTTGTACTGACTCAGTAGAACATGTGTTTCTAGTCTCTGATCTCTGATCATGTTTCATTGTAAACAACCAATCAGAGGAGAGCTAGTAACGTTAGCAGCACCGCTAACGGCTAACCAACAGGAGGAGAGCTAGTAACGTTAGCAGCACTGCTAACGGCTAACCAACAGAGGTTCACTTCAGTTACACTATGATGCCTTCAGGCTCTGCTCAGTGAACATGAGTACTGGCTGAAGGTACATTATAACGTTATCATGATGTGTTCACATGTCATCTGTAAAATGTAGTTTTGGTGATAAACTAGAATAAATCCAGTAGTTTGAAGGAGATGAATATAAATTTTATGAATATAAAATAGATATTAGATATTAGAGATGACCTATGAGCTGTTTAACTTCTAACACAAGCTCTAAGCTCATAGCAGCCCCCCCGCTCCAGAAGTAGGCTGTTGGGTCGATGCCGGTCAATGAGTTCATTTCAGCGGCTGCTGTTCGCTCCAGAGCTCCACCGTCCTGCTCTTGTGTAATGGAGGTCAACGGGTTAAAGGGGTCGCCTCACACTCACGCCTCTTTTATTTTACTTTTTATCAAACAACTAATTTACAAACATTAAAATCTTGAAGTGTCTGAATAGAAACAAAAAAATATTTATATATATATATATATTTACTAAATAAATAAAACATCAAAAATGAGAAAATGATTTGTGAATAATGATAATAAATACTATAAATAAATAGGATTGGTCTTTAATCTAAATTAAATGTTCGTACGTTTGAGCTCTTCATTTGTACATGTTTATATGTCCTTTCCTGCCACTAGGGGTCTCAGTCAAAACAATAACAGACGTGGTGAAGCAGCGTGGGATCATGGGAGTTGTAGTCTTCATTGCAGTCGTTCAGCTTTTGTTTTTTAACCACAGAGGGTTTGGGATTATTTAAGTACAAAACTCCATAAACCTGAAAACAATATAATACACATTATTCTGAATTATGAGAACTTTTACTCTTTGAACTCGTACTTTGAAACGGATCCTTTTGTACTTTTACTTTAGTCAGATTGTGAATGCAGTACTTTTACACTGTGGTATTACTGCTTTTACTGCTTTGTGATCTGATTAATACGGCTGAAACCAGACGTCAAATATTTTAAACTAGAACCTGAAAGGGTTCTTCAGCTTGTCTCATGGGAGAACCCTTTTTGCAGGGTTTTACCTAGAACCTGTCATAAAGGGTTCTACCTAGAACCATCTGTAAAATGCTCCATCCGTAGAACCTCCTATGGTGAGGTTCTACGGATGTTCTACCCTTTCATGATGAAATTGCTCTGGATAGAAACCTTCAACCTTCTAAGGGAAGAACCCACCCAGGAGGTTCTACAGAACCTCTTTATCTTTCAAGGGTTTCGTCTGGAACCCACCCAGGGGGTTCTAGTGAGAACCTATTTATATTTAATGGGATTCATCTAGAACCCAACCTATTTATATTTAATGGGTTTCATCTAAAACCCAACCTATTTATATTTAATGGGTTTCATCTAGAACCCAACCTATTTATATTTAATGGGTTTCATCTAGAACCCACCCAGGAGGTTCTAGTGAGAACCATTTTATCTTTCTAGGGTTTTGGCTAGGACCCACCCAGGGGGGTTCTACTGAGAGCCCTTTCATATTCCATGGGTTCCGTCTGGAACCCTAAAGGACCAGGACTGATGTCGTGGAGCTCAACCAATGCTCAACAGTCCTTTGTACAAAGAACCCTTTGTTCCAATCGGGTTCCTTAGAGAACTTTCAGTGGTAACGTCACTGCGAGCTGTCGGGTTAATAACTCTCTGATTGAAATGTCTGCTGCTTTTCAATCAATCACACAAAAAAAAACGACATCCGCCCCCTGCTGAGGGACCGGGATTTAACACACACACACACACACTCACACACTCAGGACAGCTTTAATCTCCTCAGAGCAGCAGATGGGTCGAGTTTTGTCACATCAGAATCCAAAAAAAGTTGGTTTGCGGGGGGGGGGGTAATCTGTCAATTAACAGAGCGTCCTCCTGTGATTGGCCGACCACTCCCGTCCTGTACGTGTTAAACTCCTCCCATCCGGCACCTCTCAGCACGATGAAAACAAACACACCCTAGAGACATCACACACCCATCCATCCTCCTCTTCCTCCTCTGCACTTTGTCTGACCTTTGACTCCTCCCCCTCACCATGTTATTGTTCAGCAGGCAGAAGCCCCCCCGCCCTCCTCTCCCATAATCCCCGTGATCCCAGTCTCACCAATCGCAGCCGAGACCACCGTCATCCCTCCGACGTCACAGGTTTCTTTTATTTTTTTGTTTGTTTGTTTTTATTTCCTCCTCCACCTGTTTGTCTCCGTCCGTCCACAGATGTCTGTCATCCTCGTTGTTGATGATTATTGTTAATATCCGGCCGCTCGTTGTCATCGTGTAGAGTTTAGCTGAGCGAATTAGAGATAGAAACAGCGTTACTACCTTTTTTAGAAAGCTAGAAGAAGAAGGGTCTTCTTGGTGGTTGACTGTCTTCATGCTTCAGCAGTGTCTCCTCTGCAGTGTGAAGCGCCGCCATGTACGTACGAGGACACTTTAGTCCTTTAATGCCCGTTACTGCAGGAGGCGGAGCTTCTGGTGGTGATGATGATGTTTCTTCTTCTCTCCTCAGGCCAACCCTCCGCCCGTGGTGGTCAACACAGACAGTCTGGACACGCCCCCTTATGTGAGTACTGATACTTTAACTACATGAAGAAGGTAATACTTGTGTACTTTCACTAAAGATACTTTAACTACATGAGCTGATAATACTGTGTGTGTGTGTGTGTGTGTGTGTTCAGGTGAACGGCACAGAGGCTGACTATGAGTACGAGGAGATCACGCTGGAGAGGGTAAGATCTCTCTGAATCATATTTCATAGTGTTGTCGGGGTAATATGAGAAAAAAACACACAATTGATCAGATTATTTTCTCCTGAATGTCTGACTTTTAATCTTGTTTTCTCTGTGAATATGAATAATAAAACGTCTCTGAAGCGTATGAATCTGGTGAGATGAGGACATCATGAAGGAGCTCGTTGTGATCCACAGCTGACTGTAGATCTATTTCATCTTCTTCTACATCCTTGTTCTAGTTCACTTCTGCTTCTTCGAGTGTAGATTATGATCAGTGCAGCGTGAATAACAACCGTCTGAGTCTGTATGTCCCGTCTACGATAGGGACACATGTCTCTGCAGGCTGGAAGTGAATCATGTTTCAGATGGAGGCGAGGACAAGGGGAGTTTAGTCCGCGTTAACTCCTGTTCTCCTGTGATTGGTCCACGTGTCCAGGGCAACTCTGGACTGGGCTTCAGCATCGCGGGCGGCACGGACAACCCTCACATCGGTGAAGACCCCAGCATCTTCATCACCAAAGTCATACCCGGAGGAGCCGCTGCACAGGACGGACGGCTCAGGTGAGACGGTCCTTAAAGCTTCAAACACACCAGAGTTTTTCTATTTTAATTGACAGAACAGTCCCTAAAAAAACAAGACATATGATACAAATATAGTAATAATATACATATATAAATACTAGTCCTTGGCAAGTTAACGCGTTATTATCGCGTTAACGCATTCATTCATTAATTGACGCCGACAATTATTTTATAGCGCGTTAACGCATTTTTTTATTTTGAAAGTCCGTGGAGGAAGTATAGATAAACAAAAGCAAGACAAGCTAAAAGATGCTACAGAGAAGTGGAGACAAACTGCAGCCGGTTAGAATACACAGCGTTACTACGTGCACCAGCTGTTGCTCTCTGGAGACTACTGGACATCGCTGCGGTCAACTCAGCAGACACTTACATGTTAGTGCACCTATATGCTGTAATTCACGGTAAACGCATTTAAACAGCACAGATCGGGAGCGAGCGAAGGACTTTGAAAGTTAGCGGAAAGATTTAACGTGAGACAACATCCGGTTTCTTCAGACGAACATCCGGTTTTCAGAATAAGATGCCAACAAAGTATGAATTATATTCACATTAAGTATAAAACATGCTGCCTGCATCTCCTGAACCAAATGTTATTGCCCTTTTGTTCATGTAGCAGTACTTTTAAAATAAAAGTGTGCAATACACTACTTTTGAATTCATTATTGAACTTTGCCATAACAATGACATTAATCGCAAAAAATCCATGCGATTAATCGCGATTAAATATTTTAATCGTTGCCCAGCACTAATATATACACATACATATACAATAGTATACAAACAATAATGTCAATACAAAGGAGACAAAATACATAAATAATCCAAATTAAATACAAAATGATAATAAATGAATGGAATTAATCTAAATAGATAAATACAAATAATATAAAGAAACAAACATTCATGAAATTGTGTAGTTAGCATCAGAGCAGGTTTGGTCCTGCTGTAGTAATACACAGAGTATGTAGAAGTACATCATACGACCTACCGGCCCTTTAAGAGGTGGTGTCCATTACCCACAATCCCCTGCAGTGCCCTGCTGCCTTTCTCTCCTTCATTCATAATGCAGCTGACCCAGGTGGTGGTGATGAAGATGATGAAGAAGATGATGTCTCAGGTTGCCTCTAACAGATGAACCTCGTGTGTGAAGCTCATGTTTCTGACTGAAAGCTCCGGTCGCTCACAGACGGAGAAGAAGAAGAGAAATGAATGAAACAATAACAGTTCACAAGAACTACAAAACACAGAGTCAACGGCACGGAACGTGTTGGAACGAGGACCGAACAACAAGATGTGGATAGATGTTCCTCCTGACGTACAGATAAAAGCACTAAACTGAGACTAGAGACGACGCTGCGCTCCTACACTTTACAACAATGTAACGTTATTAACAAACAGAATGACACATTTCTCCTCAAACGTTTCAGTAAAAATGACACTTAAAAGGAGAAAAGAAACATTTGAGTAAAAGGAGAAGTTTGTGTTTAAGTACACAGCTCGAGTTAGAACTTCAAGGGTTTAACATGCTGGAACTATTTCTTGATAAACTGTGTATCCATCCGCCCATATGCGTCTGTGCAGTGTTAGAAGACGTAAGTCTGGCTGGTTTATTACAGCTGTATGAACACTAATGTGATTTAATTACAATAAACAGATTATAATGATGCTGCAATAACTACATCATGATGCAGATTAGAAAAAACTCTGAATTCATGTTTTGTCCGTTTTCTGAACGGTTTGATCGGTGCTATGCTAAGCTAACATTGTAGCAGCTCCATCAACACTCAACATAACGTCATGTAGGCGTCATTAATGGAGGACAGGGAGGCCAGAACAAGTCATCAGATGTGGTTCCTTGACACACAGAAACAGTATCAGTAACAGTACCGCTTTAATCTCAGAGAATATACAAGTTTTTGTGGAATTTGGATTATCGTTCCTTGGCCCCGTATTTGTTTTTGGTTTAACCTACAATGGTCGTATTTTGACCGGTGACTTCCTGTGTTTCAGGGTCAACGATGTCATCCTGAGGGTGAACGAGGCGGACGTCCGGGACGTGACCCACAGCCGGGCCGTGGAGGCCCTGAAGGAGGCCGGCTCTCTGGTCCGACTCTACATCCGCCGGAGGAAACCCGTCTCTGAGAAAGTGATGGAGATCAAACTGGTGAAAGGACCCAAAGGTGACCGAGAACGTGAAGTCGTATGAATCTCACTGTAAAGGGCACGGTGATGGTTTTAACAGTCTGGTTCCTGCTCCTGGTCCTGGTCCCGCTGTGTTGCAGGCCTTGGCTTCAGTATAGCAGGCGGAGTTGGAAACCAGCACATCCCGGGAGACAACAGCATCTACGTCACCAAGGTCATCGAAGGAGGAGCTGCACATAAAGACGGGAGGCTGCAGATCGGAGACAAACTGCTGGCTGTAAGACGTCCGTCTGTCTCTGTCCACCATGTCCACCGACATCTGTCTGTCTGTCTCTGTCCACCATGTCCACCGACATCTGTCTGTCTCTGTCGTCGTAGTAGTAGTAGTAGTGGTGGTGGTGGTAGCAGCAGTAGTACAACAAGCCTTCGTGGAGTATTTCTACAGTGTAGTATTAGCGTAGTATTTACCACAGTAGATGATGTGAATACTTCCATCACAGTGTCCCCTATGTCCTCTCCTCTCTCTCTTCTCCTCTCTCTCTCTTTCTCCTCTCTCTCCTCCTCTCCCTCCTCTCCTCTCTCCTCTCTCTCTCTTTCTCCTCTCTCTCCTCTCCTCTCTCTCTCTCTCTCTCCTCCTCTCCCTCCTCTCCTCTCCTCTCTCTCTCCTCCTCTCCCTCCTCTCCTCTCTCCTCTCTCTCCTCTCTCAGGTGAACAGCGCTAACCTGGAGGAGGTGAGCCACGAACACGCCGTCACTGCCTTGAAAAACACTCCTGACGTGGTCTACTTGAAAGTGGCAAAACCCAACAGTGTCTTCATGAACGACAGCTTCGCCCCCCCGCCCGACCTCACCAACTGTGAGTGTCTTCTGTTTCATTCCATACACAGACAGCGGTTCATCGACCACACGTCGGCTGGTTATTTAACGGGTAGAAAAGGATGCAGGAATAACTGCATCATGATGCTGATTGTTAACAAGTCTGAAGCTTCATCAGGTCTGTGTGTGAGACGACAAGCTAGCTGCTTTTAAAACGCTTGTTTTCTGAATGGAGTTTGGATCCAAAATATAACTTTTAGAGATCTGGTCTACAAGGATCCACAATATTATTCTCACCATCGTCCCAAAAATCATTTCAACGCTTTGAAGTCAGTAAACCATCAGAAATACTAAATGTTGTACTTTTACCTTGTTTTAGTAATTTGTGCTTTTTACTTCATAAAAACACACAATTCAAATAATTCATAATTCATCTCTAATATCTATTTCATATTCATAAACATCTCCTTCAAACTACTGGATTTATTCTAGTTTATCACCAAAACTACATTTTACAGATGACATGTGAAGACATCATGATAACGTTATAATGTACCTTCAGCCAGTACTCATGTTCACTGAGCAGAGCCTGAAGGCATCATAATGTAACTGAAGTGAACCTCCGTTGGTTAGCCGTTAGCGGTGCTGCTAACGTTACTAGCTCTCCTCCTGTTGGTTAGCTGTTAGCGGTGCTGCTAACGTTACTAGCTCTCCTCCTGTTGGTTAGCCGTTAGCGGTGCTGCTAACGTTACTAGCTCTCCCACTGTTGCTTTAAACACTGATTGGTTGTTGATCAACCAAACATGATCAGAGATCAGAGACCAGAAACACATGTTCTACTGAGTCAGTAAAACTTTATTTACACTGTGATGGTTAACATTAAACTTTATTTACACTGTGATGGTTAACATTAAACTTTATTTACACTCTGATGGTTAACGGTAAACTTTATTTACACTCTGATGGTTAACGTTAAACTTTATTTACACTCTGATGGTTAATGTTAAACTTTATTTACACTCTGATGGTTAACGTTAAACTTTATTTACACTGTGATGCTTAACGTTAAACTTTATTTACACTCTGATGGTTAATGTTAACCATCAGAGTGTAAATAAAGTTTAACGTTAACCATCAGAGTGTAAATAAAGTTTAACGTTAAACTTTATTTACACTGTGATGGTTAACATTAAACTTTATTTACACTGTGATGGTTAACATTAAACTTTATTTACACTGTGATGGTTAACGTTAAACTTTATTTACACTGTGATGGTTAACATTAAACTTTATTTACACTGTGATGGTTAACGGTAAACTTTATTTACACTCTGATGGTTAACGTTAAAACTTTATTTACACTCTGATGGTTAACGTTAAAACTTTATTTACACTCTGATGGTTAACGTTAAAACTTTATTTACACTCTGATGGTTAACGTTAAACTTTATTTACATTCTGATGGTTAACGTTAAAACTTTATTTACACTCTGATGGTTAACGTTAAAACTTTATTTACACTCTGGTGGTTAACGTTAAAACTTTATTTACACTCTGATGGTTAACGTTAAAACTTTATTTACACTCTGATGGTTAACATTAAACTTTATTTACACTCTGATGGTTAACATTAAACTTTATTTAGACTCTGATGGTTAACGTTAAACTTTATTTACACTCTGATGGTTAACGTTAACCATCCCATCAGTTTATTGAGATTAAATTTATTTTGGGTTCATAAACCAGCTGACGTGTAGATTGCTCGATAAAGTGAATGATGGATGATGTCATGAACCAGACGGGATCATTTCCACTCAATTGATTGATGTGTCGTCTGTAAAATGTCACAAAACAGTCAAAGAGATCCGTATGTTCCAGAGCCTTGATGAATGATCTGGACAACAAGTTGAATATTTATTTCACTGAATTATCTAAAAACAAACATTCCTGTATTTTTTAACAATTTCGTTTTCATTTTTTGGGGTGTATATTTTACTAATAATTTTCTGATATTTTACTAATAATTTTTCATATATTTCACTCAATTGATTTATCAGAAAATGACTTGCGTTGTGTTTAATATTTATCGATATAGCATTATGACAGATTGTATTCATCTATAATAGGAACATGGTGGCTGAGGTTACGGTCGACCAGTAGATCTGTTCTGGGTTCAGTTTACTGAACGGTTTGATGCCTGGAACACAAAGTCCAGAATCAGAATTATAAAGATTTTAAAGAACCTCCCTAGATCCCTCCATGTCGTGGGTTTCCACAGAGAGCTCAAACAGCTCGAGTTTCTCACTCCCTAGTTTTAGTTTACGACCCCCCTCGAGGGCTCCTGGTCTTGTCCAATCAGACGGTAGCAGGAGCCCGACAGGTGAGTGCAGGTGAGGGTCTGAGCAGGTGAAGGACCAGATGCATGAAGGACTCTGCAGCTCACAGTGAGTGTTGTGAGGGAGGACGTGAACATCGCTCACTCACAGATTCTCTGTTTTAAAGTCTTCAGCTCATCAAACTAATTTTCATTTTATGTTTTTATTTAAATGAGAAATGTGCATCTCTGGTTGCGTAACCTTTTATTTTGTGTCTCTTGTTTCAGCGTACTCTCAGCACATGGAGAACCATATCAGCCCCCCCAACTTCCTGGGTCAGCCCCCCCCCCCGCCGGCTTCCTCGGGACGCTTCTCGCCGACCCCCAAGAGCATGCTGGGAGACGATGACGTCACCCGGTGAGCACGGAAACAAAACCCCTAAAAACCTATTTTACTAAAACGTTTCTGTTATTTAAACATTTACTAATACTTTCAGATGTTTTATTAAAACGTAATGGATATTTTTAATTTCTTTGGGGGATATTTTATTAATATTTTTAATGAGTTCCTGGATGAAGCAAACTCAGATAATACACGTTTAAATACAAGTTCTGTAACAAAGCCGGTTTGATCAGTGAAACAATAACCTTTGAGTATATAAATACAGGAGGACGGCATGTTAATGCTGCAGCTTTACTGCAGATATCTCTCTGTCACAGATACAGGCTTTATCTGTGACAGGAAAAGATAAAGTTTTAACAAATAAGCTCTTAAATGTCCTGTTGTGTTGGTTTCCACCAGCAGAGAGGCGAGGCGCCCTCTGCTGGTGGAAACCTGCAGTTACACACAACGCCACCATCACTGGGATCACTCGCTCTGTAAACGTCTTCATATTAATTATTAGATTGAGCTGCAGCAGGAGAAGTTCTCTCACGATGATGTTGTGACACGTGACGTTGTCGTCTGATAATAATAATAATCTTTATTTGTTTAGGACATTTAATTGTCTGAGGTCACATGACAGGATGATTGACAGCTGTGTGTGTGAGGTCACATGACAGGATGATTGACAGCTGTGTGGTCCAGCAGGGAGCCCAGGAAGGTGGTGCTGCACAGAGGAGCGACCGGACTGGGCTTCAACATCGTGGGCGGAGAGGACGGAGAGGGCATCTTCATCTCCTTCATCCTCGCTGGAGGACCAGCAGACCTCTGTGGAGAGCTGAGGAAAGGAGACAGGCTGGTCTCTGTACGTGCACACACACACACACACACTCAACACACACTCACACACACTCACACACACTCACACTCAACACACACACACACTCAACACACACACACACATTCACACACACTCACATTCACAGACACACACACGCACACACACACCAGAATCTCTAACAACTCTGACATTCATCTTTCCGACGGTGCTCGAACGCATTATAAAGCTTCAGTAAAAGGAGAGAGAGAGAGAGAGAGAGAGAGAGAGAGGGAGAGAGAGAGAGAGAGGAGGGGAGAGGAGAGGAGAGAGAGGAGAGGAGAGCGGGGGATTTATCCAACTTTGGTAACACTTGTATAAACTTGAAACATGTCTGATATTTAGAGATAAGTTGTAATATTTGTGTAACGTTGTCGTCTGGCTCCAGGTGAACGGGGTGGACCTCCGTAACGCCACCCACGAACAGGCGGCCGCCGCCCTGAAGAACGCCGGGCAGACGGTGACCATCATCGCCCACTACAGGCCGGAGGGTGAGACACACCTGGACACACCAACCTACAGTCACATGTCCACTCACACACATGTAGGACGGTGTACTTCCTGCATGTGCTGGAACTCTTCCTCTTTCTGTGCAGAGTACAGTCGGTTTGAGGCGAAGATCCACGACCTGAGAGAGCAGATGATGAACAGCAGCATCAGTTCTGGATCCGGGTCTTTGCGGACGAGTCAGAAGAGGTCTCTGTACGTCAGGTGAGACGCCGACGACTCGCCGGTTCAACACCCTGGGATGTATGGAGGATCAGAACCGGTTCCTGTCACCTTTCTTATTATCTTATTTATGTCTTTCTCACATTAAAACATGATTAGTTTTATGTCTTTATCATAATCTGTGAATTAATGAAAATACTGCTTTTTAATTTTGCTAAACGAGCAGCGTGAAAACACTTTAATGGAAAATGCTAAAACTATGAATTTGAACATATTTATTTATATTTAATTATATGTACGTTCAATTTTAATTATTCGACAAAAATTTGTTCATTTTAATTAGTTACTTGAATTAATTGATAATGTTTTTACAAAAATCTTGTATGTAATTAATTACATTGTGGAACGACTGTGGCTAAGTGGATAGCAGGGCCACCTTTCAATCAGAGGGTCGGCGGTTCAATCCCCGGCTCTAGTCGCATGTCGATGTGTCCTTGAGCAAGACACTTAACCCCAAAATTGCTCCCGTAGTTGTGCCTACGGTGTAGAAATGTGATAGACTCTGAATTGTAAGTCGCTTTGGATAAAAGTGACTGTAATGTAATGTAATGTATTTCAATTAATCAGTATTTAATGAATTTAAATGTGTAGCTTTCTCTTTACCTGATGGAACCTGTGATGCTAGTTATGTCATGTTTGTATGTTTGTATAGCTTTCACTTTTTCTGTAAAGTACCTTTAAGGACCTCGGTCGTGTCTCTGCAGAGCTCTGTTCGACTACGATAAGACCAGAGACTCCGGGCTGCCCAGTCAGGGGCTCAACTTTAAGTTCGGGGACATCCTGCACGTGGTGAACGCCTCCGACGACGAGTGGTGGCAGGCCAGACAGCTGACGTCTCAGGGGGAGCTGGAGGAGGTGGGGGTGATCCCCAGCAAGAGACGGTCAGCCTCTCACACACACACACAGTCACACACACAGTCACACACACGTACAGTCACACACACAGTCACACACACAGTCTCACACACACAGTCACACACACACAGTCACACACACACACAGTCACACACACGTACAGTCACACAGTCACACACAC